AAGAACCCACCAGGGTGAGACACAGAGGCACAGGCAGAGACAGTTGGCAAGGCCCAAACAGATGAGCACAGACCTTGGCTTAGGTCAGTTTCTGATCCTTGCCCACACACTGTGATGACCCCGAGGTTCTGGGAGACTTTCCTGATGCGCTAAATTGCTGCCATATCTCTTCCATTTTACCGTCCTCTGGTTTTGAGGGGGTTTCTACACCATAGGACTCAAAGAGCCTGGTTCATAGTGGATGCCGAAAAGAAATTGTTCCTTTTGGACTTGATGACTTTCCTGGGCTTCCTGTTGACTCAAAGCAGAATCTATTTCTTGGAGACTGGTGGGAGATAAGACATTATATTAATATAATGCCCCTTCTAGCGAATTAGAAAGATAAGAAAAAGAAGGAGGAAGAGGAAGAGGAGAAGGAGGAAACACTTTGGGGAAAGGTGCCTACAGGGACTTGATCCTTGGTTCATTAGTTCACCTGACTCCTTATCGCAGACGTTGATGCTTGGTGCACGGATGAAGACGCACCAACATTCAACTAGACGGGAGGGAACACAAGCAGGGCAAGCTAGCAAGGTATACACCTGTAACCCCAGCTACGGGGAAGCCAGCCCGGGCAGTGAAACCCTGTATCCAAAGGAACTTGAGGGGTCATTGGGGATATAGCTCAATGGTAAAGCACTTGCCTAGCATGCCCAAGGCCCTGGGTTCAATCCCTACTACAAAAAATTTTTTTTTAAATTGACTTGCCATTAATTATCTCCCTAAATAAAATGATCATTTGAGAGAGGATATCTACTTTAAGTTTGGGGAATGAAGAAATGTCAAGCGATAGTTCTGTAAGATTGCATAACACAATACAGTAGAGACTCCATATTAGTAGATTCTGCATTAACAGATTCAATCAACCCCAGATAAATATTTTTTTAAATTGTGTCTATATTAAACACATACAGGCTTCTCCTTCTTCTTGTCATTGCTCCCTAAACAATATAGCATCTATTTATGTAGAATTTATATTGTATTGGGTATTAAGTAATCCAGAGATGTTTTAGTATACAGGAGGGTATGTGAAGGTTGTTGGCAGGTACTGTGCCACTTCATATAAGGCTCTTGAGCATTTGCAGATTTTGGTACCCACCTGTGGGGGTGAGGGCCTATGGATATGAAGGGATGGCTACATTCCTGCTTCCACTCTTACTTTCTGTATTATGGTAGTTGTGTGGTATTTATTTACCCTCTTCAGCATAACATATCATGGTAAAGTGAACCATCCTGGATTAACATAACCATGCTTTGTTGATGATAATGACTTTTTTTTTTTTTTTGGTCCAGGGGGAATGAGCCCAGTGGTGCTTAACCACTAAGCCACACCCCAAGCCATTTTTTAAAAATATTTTTTAAATTTAGAGACAGGGTTTCGCTAAATTGCTGAAGCTGGCAGTGAATTTGGCAATCCTCCTGCCTCAGCCTCCCAAATTGCTGGGATTATAGGAGTGAGCCCCCTTGCAGGGTTCTGTTGACATTTAAGTCTATTTCCTTTTGGTCTTTTTATTTCTATATTAAAGCTGTGTTGTTATTGTAAGCATTTTTCTTAGTCATTAAAACAAGAATATAGCCAGGTGTGGAGGTCCACACCTGTAGTGCCAGGGACTCAGGAGGCTGAAGCAGGAGGATCATGAATTCTACACCAGCCTCAGCAATTTAGTGAGGCCCTAAGCAGCTTAGCAAGACCCTGTCTCAAAATAAAACATAAGAAAAAAGGGCTGGGCTTATGGTTCAGTTACTAAGTGCCCCTGGGTCCTATCCCCAGTATTAAAAACAAACAAACAAAACAAAAGAAAAAACAAGAATATGGGATATTGTATACTACTTTCAAACAATACTATAGTTACAGAATTTCCAAATTTCTACAAAATTTTCACAAATATAATCTTAATCACAACACAATGTTTTACTGTATGAAATTAAATCTATCATTTCTCACTGGAAATTTAAATTCTTTCTAGATAATTGTTGTGCTTATACTTTGCTTGTTTTTATGTTAATGAAGACTTCTTCATCACAGTGTAGAGGTTCTTTTTTTTTCTTTTTTAACCTATATTTGAATCTTTTAAATATGCTTTGGTATTTAAATAGTCACCATAAATCTTTTCAATTGATATGAGATTTAGATATTTCCACTTAAGATGCAAAGGAATTTATTAAACCATGTGAAAGAATCTGTGATTCCATTCTTGGGGACTTGGTTACTATTGCTAATAGTATTTTGGATTTGGGAGGCTGTCCTCCTGGACTGTCCAAGGAAAGTGATTCAGTGCTAATATCTGGAATTCCTTCCCTGTTGGTACTTTGTTTAAACTTTATTATACAACAAAAGTGGCACACATTTTAAGTCAAATACAGAAATGCTTAACAAAATTTAGTAACCTGCCTCTACTGCTGCTCAGTCTCCTCAGGATAACTTGCATTAAGAGTTTGCTGTGCAGCCCTCTAGAGCTTTCCTAATGCTCACTTCAAAGTATATGCATATACTGGTGGTGCACACCTATACCCAGCGGCTCAGGAGGCTGAGGCAGGAGGATCATGAGTTCAAAGCCAACCTCAGCAACTTACTGAGATCCTGTTTCAAAAAATATAGAAAAAGGATTGGGGATGTGGCTCAATGATTAAGCACCCCTGGGTTCAATTCCCACTACCCCCCACCCCCGCAAAAAAAAAAAAAAACTAGCACATACCAAACCTAAGGAGTTTTTTAAATGGTTATTATACCGCATATACTACAATGTCTTTTTCATTGTCATGGACATCTCCAAAGCCATAATGCACACTTAACATTCTTTTTAATAGCCATGAATAGCACATGGTGTGGGTGTATCATAATTTATTCAATCATTCCTTACAATGAACATCCAGGTTGTTCAAAGGTGGATTTTTTGCCTTTATAAATAATATCTTAATAAAATTTCTTAAACATGTGCTCTTACATATAAGTTATTATTTCTATATGATACATTCTTCTAAGTAGAATTCTTAAGGCACATATATTTTGATTTTCAGTAGCTATTTACAGATTAATTTTGTAAAAGGCTATAGTCACAGGTATTTTGGGCAGTTATATATTAGATTGTCAATTTCAGCCCCACCCTCAACAACATTGGCTCCCATGGCTCTTAACTAACAATCTGAAGTTGAAATATTGTCTTGCTTAATTTACATTTCCATACTACCAGTGGGCCATGAACATTTTCCAGTGTTTCTTTTGTTTTTTGTTTTTTGGGTTTTTGGTTTTTTTTTGGTACCGGGGATTGGACTCAGGGTCACTCCACCAGTGAGCCACATCCCCAGCCCTATTTTGTATTTTATTTAGAGACAGGGTCTCACTGAGTTGCTTAGCACCTCGCTGTTGCTGAGGCTGGCTTTGAACTTGCGATCCTCCTGCCTCAGTCTCCCAAGCCGTTGGGATTACAGGCGGTTTCTTGAGGATCCTTGTTTTGTCTTTCATGAACTGCCCATTCTTTCCCTGGATGGTCTGTCTTTTTCTTAAGGACTAATAGGAAGAATCTGTACATAGAGGGAAACCAGACCTGGCCCATCAGATGATGCAGTCATTTTGCTCCAAAATACCATTTGCTTTTCAATTGTGTTTATGACATATTTTCCCACATAACTTTTCAAAGTTAGTATAAAATGTTATTGTTTGAGGGCTTATTTCAGGGGGAAAGTCAATTATACCAGCATCATTGATTCACTTAATTATGCATTACCCTGAGTTGAAATACCAGCTTGGTTCTATATTAAGCTACCGTACATCTTTATATTTATTCCTGTCCTCTCTATTTTATTGTATCGCTCTATCAGCATCACTATTATGATATATCAGGGTAGAGTGTTCTATATTGGAGAAAATAAATAATTAAAATAATCATGTTACATTGTTTATTATAAATATACCATTCTTACATTCTTTCAATACTACCCCATAGATATTAAAATATAAAATGTTTTAGGCTAATGTATAGCAATGCCACCTTATCACAGTGGCTTTGCAATACATTTTAATGTGTAATAAATTTGTAATACATTTTAAATTTTAAAGGCAAGATAGTTTCCATCCCCTGCATATGTGTCCATGCGCACACAGGCACACACACATCTTTCTCCAGAATTATTGCCTTTTCTCAGATTATTGATATTTCATATAAACTTTATGTTCATTTTGGTTAGTTTTAAACATTGATGCTCTTTTTGGTTTTACAATAAATTTTTGCATTCATTTAGAAGTGATTTTCTTTTATTTATTATTATTATTATCATTATTTTTTGTGGTGCTGGGAATTAAAATACCCAGGGCCTGGTGCATTCGAGGCAGGCATTCTACCAACTGAGCTATATCCCCAGCCCCAGTGATTTTTATTTTTAATATTAAGACTTCCCACATGGTATCTATTAGCCAAGGTTTTGTTTTATATTCATCAGTTGAAAGTTTAGTTTTACAAATAAAACTTTTTTGGGGTAATGGAGATTGAATCCAGGAGTACTTTACCATTAAGCTACAACCCCAGTTTTATTTTATTTTTATTTTGAGACCGGGTCTCTCTAAGGTGACCAGGTTGGCCTCCAACTTGATTCTTCTGTCTCAGCCTCCAAGTTGTTGGGATTATAGGCATGAACCACCGTGACTGGATGTTCGCTTGCTTTTGGTTTGGCCAATACGAATGGAATATTTTTTCACGTTTCTACTTTTAACTTATTACTGCTATTAGAAAATAAAATTATTGTGGCTTTTTGTATATTTATCTTGTATTTAATCACATTAACAGTTTCTCTTATTATTTTTGGAAAATGCAATGATATTAAGAAAACATAAGACATTTTGGTGTCTTCTTCTCAATTTTTTTTTCCAGTACTGGGGTTTGAACCCAAGGTCTTCCACATGTGAGGGAAATACTGTATCAATGAGTTATATCCAGCCCTTTAAAAAAAATTTTTTTTTGAGGCAGGTCCTTGCCAAGGTGCCCAGGCTGGCTTCAAACTTGAAATCCTCCTGCCTCCGCTCCTGAAATAGCTGGAATTATAGACATGTGCTACTGTGTCCACCTTTTCTCCCCCAACACTTACAATGACTATTTTCTTATCTCCTTGTTTCAGGTAAGACTAAAAATTATGTTTGTAGGTACAGTTTGTGATCCTATTTTTAATAGAAATTGCTTCAATGTGTTATTTCATATGTTTGTCATGGTATTCTTATAAAGTTCTCTACTCTATTTCCTTCTATTCCATGCTACTAGTGAGTCTTTGTTGAAAATGATAGACATTCTGTTCTCTTTTAGAGTGTTGTTTAATAAACCAATTTGATAGATTTCTTAAAGTTGAATAATACTTATGGAATAAGGATATTTAAGCTTTTAGAAAACAATTTTTATTTCAATGAAAGATTTATTAGGGTTATTCTTTTGTATTTATTATACAAAATAAGTCATCATTCCTAAAATCACATATTATAAAAAGCCATATTCTGGAGAGAAATTACAGGGTATCATACTTATAAAATAAATTGTTTAGATAGACTTTGGTTCTCTCTTCTTTCTTTCTTTCTTTTAAAATTTTTTTTTAGTTGTTGATGGACCTTTATTTTATTCATTTATTTATATGTGGTGCTGAGAATTGAACCCAGTGCCTCACACATGCTAGGTAAGCACTCTCCCACTGAACCACAACCTGAAATATACATTGAAACTTGTAGATTCAAGAAAGACTAAGTGTAGCCAGGAGGGAAAGTTTCCCTTTTTAATCAAATACATGGGGAAGAGGAATAGATTGTAGTGGCCATAATAAACAGGCTGATGAGAAGGATGATAAGAAAGTTGCTTTTATTTGAAAACAAACAAACAAAAACATTACCTTGGTTGTCAGGTTTGCATTTTCGTATTTCATCATAACTCAAAGCACTTTATTCACAAGTATTCAAGCTCAGGCAATTTGCATCTTTCCAGCACATTCATCTCTGTTCACATGTCATTGATTCCTAGATCAAAGGAAAGCAGACGCCACACATGTGCAATAATACGGCACCAATGTAGCAGTCCTGGTCCTATCCTCTATTTGTACTTCACAGTCTCTATTTCTGGTCATGGAGCAGCCCTGCTATGATGGAAATATTTTTCATAGCAGATTTATTTTCCAATGTGAACAGGAAAAAGTATGTCCAGGAAATTATGCTGAAAATAGAGCACATAGTCTAAGATATTATTAGCCTCAAGAATAAAAATATGATGAAGGTGTCTCTTGGCTTCCCCTACTGCTTCTTACACACAGGTCAAAATCTGAGCTTCTACTTTCAGTAAACTGAATAGTGTGGCAGCTAAGTAGCATGGTCACAAAAGATAAATTTGTAAAGATAGGCAACATCTGATTTTTCACTTCTTGAAGTAGACCACAAGAATGCTTTTAGGCAGAGATGAGGACAGAATGTCTTGGTGAGGTTTTAGAGCCCTGGGAAGAGCTGGACACTGAGTCCTGCTCAAGCTACAGAGGAATGCCTGAATTTCCACGGTTAGAGCTTCATTTCTTTTGCACAGTTTCTTACTGTTTTAGGATATAGCACTACTCTGAGACACCAAGGGAAGTAATGGTATGCATCCCAGGAAAAAACACATAAACTTCAACCCACTATGTTTCATACCATTTGCAATAAAGGAAATTCATTTTCCTACTTACATATAAAATAAAAACAATCTTTATGCCATGTTTCACTCCCATTTTTTAAAGTAGAAATTAATGGCCATTCTTCAATTATCAAGAATACAAGTAACAATAAATGTTGGCAAAGATGTGGGGGAAAGGTACATTCATGTATTCCTGGTGGGACTGCAAATTGGTGCAACCACTCTGGAAAGCAGTATGGAGATTCCTCACTTGACCCAGCTATCCCACTCCTTGGCATATAACCAAATATCAGCATACTATAGTGAGGTAGCCACATAAGTGTTTATAGCAGCTCAATTCATAATAGTTAAGTTATGGGACCAATTTAGGTGCCCTTCAATACATGAATGGATAAAGAAAATGGGGTACATATACATATTAGAATATTAGCCATAAAGGGGCTGGGGCTATAGCTCAGTGGCAGAGCACCTGCTTCACATGTGTGAGGCACTGGGTTCAATCCTCAGCACCACATAAAAATAAACACATAAAGATATTGTGTCTATCTACAACTAAAAAAAATATTAGCCATAAAGAAGAATGAAATTATGGCATTTGGTGGTAAATGGATGGAACTGAAGACTATCATGCTAAGTGAAATAAGGCAATCCCCAAATACCAAAGGCCTAGTGTTTTCTCTGATATGTGGATGCTGACACACAATAGGGGGTATGGGGGCGAGAAGAGGAGGTTCACTAGATTGGACAGAGTGGAGTGGGGTAAAGGAAGAGGGGATGGGAATGGGAAAGACAGTAAAATGAAACAGATATAACTTTCCTATGTTCTTATATGAATATACGACCAGTGTAACTCCACATCATGTACAACCACAAGAATGGGAAGTTTCACTCCATGTATATATGATATGTCAAAATACATTCTACTGCCATGTATAACTAAAAAAAAGAACAAATAAAAAAACTTTAAAAAGAAATTAATGACCATTCTAGAAAAAAGTATGCAAAATTATTGCATAGATATGCAAAAAATACACCACACTTCATACAAACAAATAAAAGGTCCACTCTAATCTGGTCAAAGTGAATTCAACACAAAACTGCTGTTGCTTAGCTTGAATGAGAGAATGGAATTGTGGAATGCTGTTTGATCAAATAAATGCAAATGTCGTCTTTGACAGTCAGTGAATATCATCTTTCGTTTTGACTGACACGTGATGTTAACTCTCCATTGCATACAGTTCCCAAAAGAGTCATGGAATCGGAGCTCCCACAGCACACTTTGTGAAACAAGGACAAACTTGAGTCTGCCCAGATTTCTCCAAGGCTCTTTTGAGTGAAGCCAAGTAGCATCGATTCCTTTGTGAGGTCATTTTTGGCAGAGTCTGCAGACTTGATGTCAGCAAGTTTAGGATCATGAACACACATTTAATTTCAAGATCACTGGAGCAGAAATAGCTATCAAAAGACTTCTGCAGGGTTCCAGGTATCTACAGATTTTTACTTGTAAAAGTTTTGGGAAAAAAATTTTACTCTCCACTTCAGCATAAAGAAACATTGTTTTTTTTTTTTTTTCTTTAGCTTTGAAAAGTTAATATGACTGTCTCCTCCCTTCCCTTGCCAAAGCAGCAGTTTGGACAGAAGGGTTCATAGTGGTTATGCAGCCTTCCTAATAGCATGTAAAGCTTTGAATTCTTTCTTTGAAGAAAGAATCACTTCATTCAGTTGATCAAAAGTATCCACCCAATAAATCAGTGAAAAAACTCACCCACATCCCAGTTCTGAGCGATGTTCCTTGTCCTTCCCTGTTTTTGGGGGGGTGTGGGTGTGTGTCTGAGGATCATTCAAATGCTCAAGGCTTGTCTTCTAAAAGGCCAACACATTTCTGTCTATAAGAAAGTAATTTATCTTCTACTGGCCTCTCTTAATTGAAAGGAAAAAAAAATCTTGAAATAGTGGTGATTTAAGGTCCTGAGTCTGATGAAGACAGTGTTGTTCATGGCAATGGATGTGATTCATTGCAGAAAAGACAGCTGCCAACTTTTCTGCAGAGCTCTAAGTGCAGATGTTTGTCAAGCATCACAAGATCCATCTTAACATGGAGTATTAACATTCTTTTTCTAGAGGAAGGTCTATTCTGGGAATTCCACACTGAAGTTATCAGTGGTTTTGCATGTCCAAAAGGGTGTTGCAAAGCCGGGAGTCTTTGATGGTATCAGTGCAACACAAGATATCAAATCCCAAAATGTACTGATATGTCATACTAATTGTAGAGCTGACAGTCCCTCTGTGATCTCTTAAACAATATTAAAAGAAATGGCCACAACTCTGGAATGATGGCATCCTTTCATTAAGGGAAACATTTCAATTTTCTTCCTCTACTTTAAGGGACAAGCCAGCTTTCCCATGTCCATGGCATATGGCTTCATAAGATCTCTGCAATTATATGTGGGCAACTTTCTTTCTAATTCGGCTTGTGGTAAGTAAGATTGGAGAGAGATTTTGTGCTAGAGTAAATACTTTTCTTTCTTTCTTCCTTTCTCTCTCTCTCTCTCTCTCTCTCTCTCTCTCTCTCTCTCTCTCTTTCTTTGTGCTTTACCACTGAGTCACATTCACAGCCCTTTTTATTATTTTAATTTTGAGACAGGGTCTTGCAAAGTTTCTTAGGGCCTCCCTAAATTGCTGAGGCTGGCATCTAGATATGATTCTTTTGCCTCAGTCCCCTGAGTCCCTGGGATTACATCCATGTGCTACTGAGCCTGACCACAAATACAAATTTTGGCCAGTTTAAGTCCTTATTGAATTATCATCTTATCATCAATTTTCTCCAAAACGAATTTTGTTTTGTTTTTTAAAGTAGGATGCTATAAAATTTCACACATTGTGTTGTTGTTGTTGTTGTTTTGAAGAGGATGGGAATATTGTCCTGCAGAATATCTCACATTTTGCATTTTTCTAACTGTTTCCCTGGGAGTCCTGTTTAACTTCTTTCTCCCTGGTATATCCTATACACTTGAAATGATGTGCAATTGATGTAATAAGATTCAAGTTAAGCCTTTTGTGTAGAAACAGGTGATGCCATGAACTTGCTGGATGACAGAAGGAAGCCCTTATGGTCAGTTGGTCCTACTGTTACTGAGATTAAATTTGGTCAGTTGGTTATCATAGGGGCAGCCAGAACTTTCTTTTGTAAATATCCCTGTTTCGTATTCAATTTGCAATTAATCTGTGGGGCAATCAATCAGTCAAGATTAATACTTTGGTACCATGCAAACATCCTACCAACTTTTATTTGCCTCTTGACATGAAATTACTCTGTATAGACTGAACTTGTTTAAATCATACAGTTTGGTGAGTTTTTTTTTTTTTTTTCTCACAGTAACAACTCTTTTTTTTTAAGTTGTAGATGTATACAACATCTTTATTTTATTTTTTATGAGATGCCGGGGTTCCCTGGCCCCCAGTTTGGTGAGTTTTGAAAGGTATATAGACCTGTGAAATCATCACACAATAAAGGCCATGAACATGTTAATGACTCACCTTCAAAATGTTTCTCTTGCCCTTTTCTCCCTTCACTCAACCCAAGGCAATCACAGATGTTTTCTGTCACTGTAGAGAAGTTCATATTTCTACAATTTGACATAAATTACCCACAATATGTACTTTTTTATGGTCTAGCCTCTTTTGCTTAGTATAATTATTCTGAGATATATCCAATTTGTTGAGTATATCTATAGTTTCATCCATTTTATTACTGAAAAGATTCCATTGTATGGATATTATAGTATTTATCCATTCACATGTTGGACACTGGGACATTTTTTTTTGGTTTGGGCTATTAATATAAAGCCACTGTGAATATTTATTTACAAGTTTTTGTATGGATATGTGAATTCATTTTTTTCTGGGCAAATACCTAACTGGATTACATGTGGTAAATATATGATTTTTCGTGCAGTATCAAGGATGGAACCCAGGCTTCATGTATGCTAGGCAAGCGCTCTACCACTGAGTTACATCCCTAGTCCTGATCAAATTTTAAGAAACTACCAAACTAATGTCCAAAGTGGTGGTTAGAGTCTGTAAACAAGTCAAAATAACACCTGGCATTTTGCCAGGGGAATGTTAGAGTTCGTAAACAAGTCTGGATGGTGCCTGGCAAAATGCCAGAGGGAGTGGTTTGAGAAGTAACAAAAGTGAGCCATTAAGTGTGGAGATTCCTTATTGGTTGACTGATGTATCTAGTTTATGCTAATTAGATAAGCTGTGTGGAATGTATAAATACTGCTCCTGTCCTGCAATAAACGGCTCCCACTCCTGCTGTATCAATCTACACAAGTTGTTCATCACCCCCCGGTTATTTTGCTGCAGCCGGACTGCGGCAAGTGGTTGTGCCCTTTTACATCTTCTCAGCAGTGTAAAAGAATTCCAGTTCTGTCATATCCTTGTTAACCCTAGTTGTGCCCCATCTTTTTAAAATTTTTGCCATTCTAATCTGATTGCAAGTAGAATCTTGCAGTCTTAACCTGCATCTTTCTAATGACTAATGGTATGGTCTTTTCATGTAGTTATTTGCCATCTGTATATCTTCTGTTATAAAATTATCTATTCAATTTTTTGTCCCCCACCTTTTTTGTTTTGTTTTATTTTGTTTTGTTTTGGTTTTTGGTGCTGGGGTTAAGCATAGGGCCTCAAACAACCTGGAGGGAGTGTGCTTTATCACTGAGCTACCCGTGCTCTATTTTTTAAAATTATTTATTTATTTTTAATTTATTTTTTAGGGGGATACTGGGGCTTGAGCTCAGGGACACTCGACCACTGAGCCACATCCCCAGCCCTATTTAGTATTTTATTTAGAAACAGGGTCTCACTGAATTGTTTAATGCCTTGTTTTGCTGAGGGTGGCCTTTGAATTCCTGACCCTCCTGCCTCAGCTTTCAGGGTGGCTGGGATTTCCGGCATGCACCACCACACCCTGCTTAGTTTTTTTTTCTTGTCATTGAGTTTTGAGAGTTCTTTATACATTCTGGGCATAAGACCTGTATCAGAAATATGAGTCACAAGTATCTTTACCCAGTTTGTGGCTTGACTTTTAATTTTCTTCATGATGTCTTTCAGCAAGCAAAAGCTTTTAATTTTTATTATATGCAATTTATAATTCGTAATTTAAGTTGATCATGGTTTTGTTATCATACCTTAGAAGTCTTTGCCTTATCCAAGGTCATGAAGTTTTTCTCTTGCTTTTCACTCGTAGTTTCACAGTTTTGGGTTTTACATTCCCATCTGTGATCCATTTGAATTAATTTTTTGATATGATTACAGGTATCCAGCATGTTTATCAAATGGTTTCAGCATCATCTACTGAAAAGATGATTCTTTTTTATGTAATATTTAAAATTTATATATGACAGCAGAATGCATTACAATTCTTATTACACATATAGAGCACAATTTTTCATATCTCTGGTTGTATACACAGTATATTCACACCAATTCGTGTCTTCATACCTATACTCTGGATAGTAATGATCATCACATTCCACCATCATTAATTACCCCATGCCCTCTCCCCTCCCCTCCCACCCCTCTGCCCTATCTAGAGTTTGTCTATTCCTCCCATGTTCCAACTCTCGATCCCACTATGAATCAGCCTACTTATATCAAAGAAAACATTTGGCATTTGCTTTTTTGGGATTGGCTAACTTCACTTAGCATTATCTTCTCTAACTCCATCCATTTACCTGCAAATGCCATGATTTTATTCTCTTTTATTGTTACTCAGCAATATATTCCATTGTGTATATATGCCACATTTTTTTTATCCATTCATCTATTGAAGGGCATCTAGGTTGGTTCCACAGTTTAGCTATTGTGAATTATGCTGCTATAAACACTGATGTGGCTGTGTCCCTGTAGTATGAAAAGATGATTCTTTCTCAACTGAATTGCTTTTGCATCTTCATTGAAAAATTTGACCTTATGTGTGAAATAAAACTCTTGTTCTGTTTGGTTGATCTGTTTGTTTGTTTTGATATCAATGTCATAACCTTGTTTACTACGGCTTTAAAAATGAATGCTGAAGTTAGTGTGACTCTTCAAACTCCATTGCTTTAGTTCAAAGTTGTTTTTACATTTTATGTCCTTTGCTTTTCCATATGAATTTTGGAGCCAATTTCTACAAAACAGCTTGCTGGTATTTTAACTGAGATAACATTGAATATGCACAGAGATTTTGGGATAATCAACATTCTAACATTGTGTCTTCAGATCCAGGAATATAGTACAGTCACCCTGTAGTATTGTCAGGGGACTGGATCCAAGACCCCAGGTACCAAAATCCATGGACCCTCAAGTCCCTATGTAAAACAGCATAGTATTTGAATATAACCAACACACACACCCTCCTTTATACATTAAAACATATCTCAACTGCTTATATCCAATAAAATGTAAATTCTATATAAAACTATTTGTTAGCATACTGTATCATTTTGGAAATAATGTCAAGAAAAAGTCTGTACATTTTCAGTACAGATTCAATGATATAATTTTTTTTCCAAGTATTTTTGATCTGTGGTTGGTTGAAATCATGAGTATAGAATCTGCAGATACAGGACTGGGATTGTGGCTCAGCGCACGTGTGAGGTCCAGGGTTCAATCCTCAGCACCACATAAAAATAAACAGATAGAATGAAGATATTATGTCCAACTACTTCTAAAAAAATGTTTAAAAAAAAGAATCTGCAGATAAGGAGGAAATACTATTTTTCTCTATTTATTTAGTTCCTCTTTAATTTATCTCAGCAATGTTTTATAGTTTTCAGTTTACAGGTCTTATACAGTTTTTGATGCTACTATAAATGTTAATTTTTAAATTTTATTTTCTCATAGTTTCTAATATACATGTCAGCTAATTTTCTTATATAGTCAAGCTTGTTTAAATTGCTTGATAGTTTTAATTGCTTTTCTGTAGATTTGGAGTCTTGGAGGGGTACTGAGGATAGAACCCAGGCATGTTTTATCACCAGCCATTTTTCTTTGTCTGTTTGTTTACATATTTATTTAAATTTTGAGACAGGCTCTCACCAAGTTGCTGGGGCTGACCTTGAACTTGTGATCCTCCTGCCTCAGCCTCCCAAGTAACTGGGATTATAGGTGTGTACCACCTTCCCAGCTTACTTACTGTAGCTTGTTTAGATTCTCTATGGAAATGATCAGATATACACTATGATAGCGGTTTTATGCTTTCCTTTTTCTTTTTCTTACCCTTGGCACTGGCTGTAACCTCTAGTATAATACTGACGGAAGCAGTAGAATTCTCATCAGAGTAATTCTAGGTTCATAGAATGTTGTTGGTATTTCCTCCTCCAATTTTCTGGAAGACTATGTAAAAATGGTGTTATTTCACAAATGAAGACATCCTCAACCCCAAATTTTCTTTGTTGGAATCTTTGATTTTGTTTTGTTTTTAACTATAAAACTCAAATCCCTCTAATCGTGTCAGCTAGTTCTTTCCTGGATCTCAGAGAGTTTTCATTCATGAATGTACTGATCAGTACTCAGCTGAATAGTTGAGTGAGATTCCTTCCCAGAATTTTCTTTGTGGCACTCACTTCTTTTCTGCAAACTCTGGGCATCTTGGCTTCCTTGGACTACAAATTCCATGTTTTCAACTTGGGGAGACCTCTGAGCTCTGCCTGAACTCACCTTCAGTCTAGAATCTAACTCCAAGCAATTAGCTGGGGCATGCAGAGGGCTGACCTCATTTATTTTCTACCTATCAATTTTCTTTTGTGCTTGTGTCCAAAGTCTTGAATGTTGTTTCATATATTCTGTCTGGTGTTTAGGTGTGTCTGGTGGAAGGGTTTATCATACTCCTATTACTCAATCCTTAACAAAAGCAGAAGTCCCATTAAGTTTATATACCTAATGTTTTCATCATCCAGTAGTGATCGTGACATTAATCAATTATTTCATTGGAATTTAGTGATTTTTTTGTTTTTGTTTTTATTAAGTAGGCTCCATCTATTTAAAAAAAGGAGCTTCCCTGCATCAACTGGAATGAGTTTCCTTTCTTTTACAAGAGCAGAATTAATGTCTAATTTTTCTCTCCTTTCCAAATGAGAAGTTGACTCTAATAAGCAAATGAGTTTTTTTGTTTTTTTTTCTGTTGTTTTTATTTAATTTTGAGTCTCATTATGGACTGAGATTATTTATTTATTATGTTACGATCAATTTATAGTCATTATTCCTTCTAGTGCTCAAACTGTACCAAATTAGCTAATATGAATGCCTTCATTCTGGCTTTTGAGTCTATTTGAAACATCCCCAATAGGCTTTAAGCATCATCACCTTAGGGCAAACAGCTACTTTAAAGCTCATCATGTATTTTTCCATGCTCCAGACTTAAACTTTCCAATTCTTCAAACAACCCTGAGTCACTTTAGTAGAAAATATTATTTAGAAATGAAGGTCTGGGCACTGGAGGTATTCCACACTGTGGGGTTGTCAATGGAGAAAACTATTTTGGATGTCATAGCCTGGCAATGACATCAATCATACTTTATTATGAACCATAGTATCCACAGCAAGCATGCTTTTCAAAAAAAAAAAAAAATGGAATGACTTTGGTATACACCCAAAGAAATTAAATCAATATACTATAAAGATACCGGCATACCCTTGTTTATCAGGGCATAATTAACAATAGCAAATTGTGGAATTAGCTTAGGCCTTGTTCATTGGAAAAAAATAATGAAGGTATTATTCAGCCACAAAGTAGAATGAAATCATGTTACTTACAGGAAAATGGATGGAACTGGAGATCATAACATTAAGCAAAATAAGTCAGACTCAGACAAGTATTACATGTTTTCTCTTATCTTTGAAATCTAGAGAGAAAAAAATTACATGAAAGTAACAGGGAGACTGTAAGAGAAGACAAAGGGGTTGGGGAGAGGGGAGGGGAGGGTAGTGGGGGATGGATATGATTAAAGTATGTTGTATGCACATATGGCTATGCCGCAGTGAACCCATTATTCTGTTTAATTAAAGCACACTAATTAGAAAAAAGACTCCATCTTTGCTGCAGGAAGCAGTTCTCTGACTGGCCTTGAATTGCCTGCTGTGGAGAAGGCTGCAGAGCAAGGAATGGTGGGTAATCTCTAGATGCTGTGAGCATTCCTGGCTGGCAACCAGGAGGGAACCTTGTGTGAAGGTTTGGATTCGAGGCATCCCCCAAAAGCTCCTGTGTCATGTAGGAATATTTAGAGGTGAAGTGATTACAGAGTATGAGAGCTGTAACCCAATTGGCCCATCCTAGTTTGAATGAATGGACTGGCTGGTAAGTGTAGGCAGGCAGGGGTGTGGCTGGGGGAGGGGGGTCATCAGGGACATGTCCTGAAAGCGTTCATCTGCCCTGTGGCCCCTTCTACCCTTCTGTCTCTCTTTCTAGCTTCCATGAGGGGAGCAGCTTCCTTCCACCATTTTCTTCCATCATGGTGTTCTGCCTCATCTTGGGCCCAGAGCAATGGGCTTGGCTGATTGTGGACTCAACCACTGGAACACTGAGCCAAAGTAAACCTTTCTACTCTAAATTGTTGTTGTTGGGTATTTTGTCACAGTGATGAAAAGCTGACTAACACACCCGGGATCTCAGTCGTGAGGTGGCAAGAAATGAATCCTGCCAACACCCAGGGAGATTGGAAGAGGATCCCAGAACCTCTGATGTGATCACAGCTCCAGGTGCCACCTTGATTTTTAACCTGTGGAACCCTGAGGAAAGGACTCAGAATGTTGGATCTGGACTCCTGCATGATAGAAACTGTGACATAAAAAGTGTATGCTATTTTTAAATTGCTCAAAAATTTGGGGGTGAAATGATACTCTAATAGTATACTTACATGCTCTTTTTTAATCATGAATTTTTATTTATTTATTTAAAAAAATTTTTTTAGATGTTGATAGACCTTTATTTTATTTATTGATATGTGGTGCTGAGAATTGAACCCAGTGCCTCACACAAGCCAGGCAAGTGTGCTACTGCTGAGCCACAGCCACAGCCTTTAATCATGAATTTTTAAATCAAAGAAAAAAATTTGGAGATGAATAAAGTACCCTTTAAAAGCTCTCTGGAGACCCCCAAGAAGTGCCTGGATTTCTTCTTGTTAGGATTTCATTTTAAGTTAAGGCACTTCTACCTGGCTATACATTTTTACCCAGGAAAATTAAAAACAAACCATTGATACCCAGGTCCTACCTCAAGATAAATTAAATCATAATTTTTATGGATATATCCCAGGATCCTTGTTTTCATTTTTAATCTTGCTTCCTTCAAATCTTCCCAGTTGATTTTAATGTGCTGATCACACATTAGGATCTCGCTTAAGATCTTAGGGTCATTTTAAAATGCAAGCACTTTTGAAAATAATCATACCTGAATATGTGACTGTTTCTTTTTATATCTCATTGATTCTAGAGAGAAGTGAAATATTCAGGTCTATTTGGTGTCTGAGCAGTTGTTGGGAAGAGCAGAAGAAAAGAAAAAGATCTCAATGTGTGCAAGATAAGCTGCTTTTTTTGCTTGGGTCAACTCCAATGATCAAGACCTCTAAGCTCTTTACTAAAGAAGCAATTAACTTCATCAATAAATATTTATTTGTGCTGTTGGCAGTTTGGCAGAGCTAATTCACCCTTGGGATAATTCAGCATCCATGTTCCTGATTCTTGCCATTATGTCCCTAAATTGGCCAACTGCCATCGCCATTGTTTCGAAATTACTTAGAACGGGAACTTAAGGCAATTGCCACACTGTCCTTTTATTCTGTCGCACGAAATAATTTTCCAAATTAATCATATCGCTAAGTCTCTCTCCAGAGCTAATGGTCTGAAATCTGAAACCAGGGAACTGCTGGTGTGGTGAGAAATAGTTTTCCTCACTTAATTTGTCAGACTTCCAACTGCTCTTCTATTCTCTAAGCAAAGTTGCATCCAAATGTCTGTTTCAGAATACCATTATCATTGATTGAAGATGTTGTTTCCCTGAGCCAGTCGACTAAGGAAGGCATTCTAGAAGGCTCTGCCCTCTGTCTTAATCCTTTTGGGCTTCTAAAACAAAACAAAGACTAGGCGGCTTACAAACAACAGAAATTTATTTCTCTCAGGGTCTGGAGGCTGGGAAGTTCAAGATGAAGGCACCAATTGATCCAGTGCTCGGTTCAGAGCCTCTTGTTGTCTTCTCATGGTGAGAGGGTCTCTTGACTCCCCCATGAAGCCACAAATTGCGTGCTTGGGGGCCCCACCCTTAGGACCTAGTACTTCCCCAAGCCCCATCTCTCAGGCCATCACAGTGGGTATTAGACTTCAGCAAGTGAGTGTTACAGGGACACAACATGCAATCCATGGCACCCTCCTCGTTTTTAAATACGCACTTTTTAAACGGGCAAAAAAGTTGGGTCTCGCCTCTATAATTTCATCTGGACTAAATGTTTACTTAATGTTGTTACATGAATCTCAACATAGAAAGAATATTTTCTTACATAACTGCAATGCATGACCACACATAATACAGCCAAGAATGATTCCTAGTCCATCTAACACTAAGGCCATGATCAAATTGCCCCTCTTGACTAAAAGAAAGCAAAATTGGTGTACACATAGCAAAATTCAAACAAGTTCCACTCATTGTATTTGGCTGCTAATATAATATTTTCCCTGCCTTAATCTTTAATCTGAAATATTCTCTTCTTTCTTCTATTTGTTTGTAGTTCACTGACTTCTTGAAGAAACCTGCTCAAATGTCCTGTAAAATGGCCCATGTGGTAGATGTTGCTGAAAATATATTTTTTAAGAAAAATGTGGAGCCAACTTTGGTGCCCTTCAACAGATGAATGGATAAAGAAAATGTGGTGTATATAGACAATGGAGTATTACTCAGCCATAAAGAAGAATGACTTTGTCATTTACCAATGAGTGGATGGATCTGGAGACTGTCATGTTAAGTAAAATAAGCCAATCAAGAAAAACCAAAGGTCAAATGTTTTCACTGATATGTAGATGCTAACCCACAATAAGGGGGACAGGGGAAAATAGATGTTCAATGGATTAGACAACAGGGAATGAAGGGAAGAGAAGGGTGGGTAGGAAATGGAAAGACGGTGGAGTGGTCTAACTTTCCTATGTACATATATGAATACCCCACAGTGAATCCCACCATTGTGTACCTCCACAAGAATAGGGTCATAATTAGAATAAGACATATCTCAAAATGGACTCTACTGTCATGTGTAACTAAAAAGAGCCAATAAAAAAAATAAAGAAAAAGAAAACAAATCGAACACTGCAGCTGTGATTCTCTAATACTGGCCTGCTTAAATATCTCCAAAACATGAAACTCCCATCAACATGAGTAAGTATTCATAATGACATTATTTTCAAAGACATTGATTTAGTGAACAGAAAAGTAATTGGATATAATAAGTTTCATTTTCTTTTCTGAACAAGTGTTATTTGGAATGAAAAATTTGTGTGGACTATATGACTTTTTGAAGAACATTTAAAATAGTACTTTTAAAGAACATAACTAAGAAAAATATTATTTTGTGTATCTTGTTTGAATCCCAATGTGTTCTTTATCAGTTGAAAACTGACTATAGAAGGGTCACAAAAAATAGAAGGAGGCTTTGTGCTGGGGTAGGTCTGTGGTAGAGTGCCCGCCTAGCAAGTACAAAACCCAGGGTCCAACCCCTAGCACTGATAATAATAATAATAATAATCATCATCATCATCTCTGCTCTGGTAGGGTGGGGAAGACCTAAATAGAGAGGGAAGAATGCTGGGGCGAGGGCACTGTTCCAGAAGTCTGTTCCCCTCTTGACCCTATTTCTGAGATGTGGGAACTGCCAAGCATCTGTGGGTTCTCCTGCCGGCTGCTCAGGGCGCCTGGGGTCCTATTTCGCACATAAGCTCCTCTAACTGAAATGTGTAAGGGACCAGGAAAACGATGATACTCCTGCTCTGCCCTCTCTTTCTGAGAAACAGGAGCCAGAGACCAGAATTCCAAGAGATTCTGCATTGAAAATAGGAGCAGGATCTCACAGCCATTTCCTCAGTTTCTGTTTGTAAACACTGAGGATACAAGACAGGACATAATTCAAAACAAAAGGCAGGTCACAGAAAAAGAAAATAAGAGAGATAAATTATTTCCAAAGATCCTGACCTAAAAAGTCTCCAAAACTTGTCTCTGAAATTCTAACAAACAAAGCAGAGAAAAAAATATAGTGGGCTACAGCAATTCTGTGGCTAGACTCTTAATTCACGTGGAAACAAATGGTTTTACCAGTCCTCGGTTCTGGAGGAAATCTGTCCAGGGGAACATGCATCTTTGGGATATATAAAAAGAATACAGCAGCAACTGGTTCTTAACAAGAACAAAAACCAAATTCCCGTGTGTAGAAATTTTAAAACCTCCATTGCCTGTAGGTATTGGGCTCTTTGAGTGATGGTTTAATATAATTCATGTCCCCTGTGTCCTTTAACGTGTAGAGATTTGGCATCCAGTTTCATCCAAACATGGGTAAAAGCCCCTTCTCTGGCCTTGTTAGCTGCCTTGCTCCAGCTGTGGGTAAGGGTGGCAGGTGCCTTGCCCTAATGGCCCCGACTTTCCAGGCCTCCCTGTCTGTGCCCTCACTATCCACGCCCTCTGGCGGAGTCCCCCCACTCTGCCCTCTGTGCCTGCCATGGAACTTGCTTTGGCCAATAGGACAAGAGAAATTCAACAACACAGAGGATTCAAGACTGAGTATTTGTGCTTGCCCTCCTGCCCGGTTGGGCCCCATTTCTCAGACTTTTGTCACCTCCTCAGGAGCATGCTGGAGCTAGCCCACTGGAAGAATACATGTGACATGCAGGGGGACAAGGTCTTCAGCTAAGACCTGGAGCACCCAGTCCTATAACAACAGCCAACTGGCCCCAGACTCCTGAGCAAGCCCAGTGGGATCCACAGAACCACGGAGCAGACTCACAGACACAAGAGGAGCAAGAAATAGTTGTTTTTTAAAGCCATCAAGTTTGGGATAGTTTATTATACAAGCAATAGTTGAGCGATGGGCGGAGGGAATGAATCTCATATCTAAATCAAAGAGGGCCATTCTATTTTCACATAAAAGGGCACTCCGTGAACGCCCATGTTTGTTTTTCCAGAAAAGAGAATTCTGAATTTCTGATGTTCAAGTGAGTGCCTCTGAGAATCCACAAATTCTATTCCTTTAAGGATGAAAGTCAGTGACAACAGTTATTGGTCTGGAAAATTCTAAGCAAAACCTTACTATGTCTCCTCAGTCATCAGATATGAGTAAAATTATTTCAAGGCCAATGGAGTTTACATTTAGGTCAGGAGATTCTGGTATCTCTTAAGAAGCCCAGATTGATACCATTATTTTGTGAACCGTGAAATTGGAGCTCCTCTCTGGTATTTTTGATCTAGCATTAAAAGCTGACTTCACTATTTCAATTCAAGCATGAAGACTTCAATGATTACAAAGAGAGAAAGACACTGGAGGGGAAACCACAGAAGAGTAAATGTTGTTCCAAATAGAACACTAAGCCAGTAAAAATGGTGGGGATGAGAGTGAAGACTGAGCTCTGGGTTCCTTGGAAACCCCACCTGGTGGTGAGGAGAAGGGAACCTCAGGGCCAAGAACAGAGAACTACCCCAGTAAACATGTGGCAATGAATTAAATTATCTTTTAAATAAAAAATAAAATATTCCTGGAGTCAATTAGAGCTGGACACAGTCCTGACTCTGGTAATTGAATATGGGAAATGATTTCGGGCTGCAGCTTATGTTGGTGAGGAGACAGACATGTGATGCAGGCTCTTTTATTCACAGTGAAATTTTTCTTCAATTAATTCAAGTACATACAAAATTTTTCAGTTCTTGATACAGCAGGTCCTTCTAAGGCCAGGAAACGAGAAAAACAATCTTTTAATAATACATTTTTCCAATTAAAACTCACAGGAACACTCATTAGTATTACTCAGAGACTATCCTATAGACCTAGGACATTGACCTCAGAAGTCATTTTTTTTAATACTAAAGATGAGATTGGAAATTCTTTTCTTTTTTTTCTTTTTTTCTTTTTTCCTTCCTTCCTTCCTCCCTTCCTTCCTTCCTTCCTTCCTTCCTTCCTTTCCCTTATTTCTTTCTTTTTGGTCATACTGGGGATTATTGAACCCAGTATGGTGCTTTACCACTGAGCTACATCTCCAGTCCTTTTTATTTTTTATTTTGAGACAGGGTGTTGCTAAGTGGCTGAGTCTAGCCTCTAACTTGAAAGCCTGTTGCCTCTGCCTCTCTAGTCACTGGGATTACAGGCATGCACCACCTTGCCTGGCTGTGAGGTTGGAAATTCTTTCAAATCGTCCAGCCACCTCTATAAAGACACCCACCTGATGATCAAATTACAACAGACAAATCATGGATGTGAATCATACTTTGACTCAGTTGCAGCCAATATTTATGTGGAGCAGGGCTGGGGATGGGGCTAGGCCCAGTCATTGTCTTCCCACCAGGGAAGCATCAGTTACATTTTTTTTTTCCTTTTGACAGGCCTTATGCCTAAAGAAGGTCTCTAAATTGGAAGATCAGGCAGTAGGCTTTAGAAATCACCTCAGTCCTTCTTTTTCTTCACAAAGACAGGACTGTGTGGCCAAGGTCACAGCCAGTCAGCCCCCATTCTTACAAGCCACTTTTCCTTTTGTGATGCCCTTCCACCAAGGCTTATTGCACTCAAACTGCACACCACACAGTGGGGAGGCATCACATGCCTGGCAAACTCTGTGTATTCCCTGGCAGAGCTACGTCACACACAAACGTGGAGCAGAGCCCTTTGCTGAAAATGACCTTCTGTTAAAGCCAGAACCGGATCAGCTCTAACCTTGACACCAGAGATTCTGCCACATGGTCCATCCCAGAGGCTGAGAAAAAAAACCTAATCCAACACAGAAGGGGTGTAGGACATCTGCACAATTCAGGGAGAAAGAGAATCAAAGATGGAATAATCAAAAGTGAAGCATTCACCAACAATAAACCCAGGGGTCATCCCCATGCAAGCACATGGAAGTCAGGACTTCCAGGGTCAGGAGTTTGAGCCAGTGCACTTTGGGTACCGGGGCAAGTGTTTCTCATAGTGTTGTTCATTTCACTGATTTTATTATCATTGGTTTAACTTTATAAAAGAAAGAGGGAGGAAAAGGAAGGCAAGTTACTGAGGTGAGCTTGGAAATGTGGAAGGTTGTATCAAGATGACATTGAAATGCTGGCTCCGGTTTTCCTTTGAATTGCACAGTTAAGATCGCAGAACAATATGGGAATGGAGCCAGATGACACGGTACATTAAAATAAACTAGAGTTATTTCCTCAACTCCACAAGGTAGGCGATGCCACGGACCACTGCCTTTGCGTGAGATGGGGAAATACTTTCCATCTTTTGGAGACGTTCTATTTTAGTCCTTGGAAAGAATATTTGGATTTCTTTACTTCATTTTCATGATACTGTTCTCCTTTGTTAACATATTTTATATAGAATAAGACCTAAGCCTCTTCCCTTTGGTAGTCTTGTGGGATGGAATGATACCTTGCTTAGGTTTTATAAAGTTTATCAGTGAGCTGGATATTTTTCTAGTTACAGGGGAACTAAAGTCTCTATTCCAAAAATCTCTTTGGGAAGATGTTGGTTTTATTTTTCCCATGATAAGAAGCAGCCTAGTAGCTACTACCAATCTTAGAAAATTAGGTTTATTCATGTCCATTTGTATTAAAATATGAATCACTTCAAATTAATTGAGTTTCTCTTCTTCAGGCTGACTTTTAAGGTTCATAACAACTAAAAAGAGAGCCAACTGATATAAGATCCAGTTGCCATAAACAATATTTAAAATTAGAAATTTCTTTTTTGCTTCTCTCTAATCTAGGGCTTGCCTCTTCCTGCAGAATATTTTTCAGGAGTTACTGGAAAGTCACTTTAAAATCATTTAGCTTAAGGTAATGTGGAAGTAGACAAGACTTCCAGTCAGTTTGCTTGATAGTAGGGGCAGCTTCATAGAGTTAGAGGAAGTATTAATGCATTTTTATTTGTTTGTTTTGGGCCATGATGGGGGTCAAAACAGGGCCTCACGTGTGCTAAAGCAGGCATTCAACTCTGAGCTACATCCCCAACCCCAGGGAGACTTCTTGATTACTGAGGGCCAGAGATGAAGAGAAAGGATGTCCCCAAGATAATTGCATGTCTGCTTCCAATTAGGGTACAGAAAGTCTCAGCAGAACAGAGCTGTCGTCCTAATGA